TATGCACGATGAAGTTTTTATTAAATGCTATTCATTAAAATATGATTATAAAAATTCATTTATATATCTTTATCGCCTGTTGAAAAATGATAGCAAAATAATGTGGTTTATAAAATAAAGTTATAAGGTATTTCTCCCGCCTTCTTAGCATGCCTTCGTAATGTAGCGGTCAGCACCCTCGCAGCGTGTTCGGGAGGTCTGTGGTTCGTTCCCGGCGAGGGCATTGCTAATTTTTTATTACTCCTGCTTTGAAATAATGTCTCTACAGTGGCGCAAGGATGGACTAAAAGGGCAGTGGATGATGATTCTTCACCCCCAGGATTTGGCAATTGGGTTCCCTAATCTCCAGTCGCCCTTTAAAAGAGGGTATATACTGCATTTCTCCCGCGTTCTTAGCATGCCTTGTGGTGTAGTGTTTAGCACGTTCGCACATATTTGAGAGGTCTGTGATTCGATTCCCAGCGAGGGCATTGCTAATTTTTCATTACTTCTGCTTCGAAATAACTACACTACAAAGTACCAATTTCATTGTTAACATGACACAGAAAATATTCATTGTTTATGTTAAAATTTTAATTAATTGGTTGTAATGAGTCCTTCAGATTCCCTAATACTATAGAAATAAGTGCCCTCAGTATATTTCTGATAGTCTTTGTTATTTAGGGCATTACTTGCTTCATTTGTTTTTAAGTTTTATTCATTTTTCTTTAATGCATTGTCTGCTACCAACCTTGATTATTTTGTTCATATTTCCGTCAGCTGCAATGTGTTGTTTCAACTTTAATTTTACCAGAAAACTTGAACTAAAAAAGGAATTTCTTTCTTGACTGGATTCAGTTATCTTTATTAATATACTAAATATAAGAAATCCTGCCTTCTGAAAATATTTTCGATCACACTTTAAGCCAGGGGTAATGAACCATTTTATACAGCCCACTTTGTAGGCAGTAAAATTTCTATACCACCCACCCGTTCACAGTAACTTAATATAGTGTTATTGCAAAGAAGCTATAATTAAATTTGCATTTATATATGCTATAATTTACAGTATGAAGCTTTTAATAGAAAGAAAAGTTATTAATAAACAAGAAAACCATACAAACATTCAGAAACTGGAGAGACTGCATGAAGGAAAATTGTCAAGTAGAGAACTAAACTTATAAGGGATGTATATGTATAAAGACATCCATGCATGTTTTGATCTTCTTTGATCATCAAATGATAAAAAAATTCCACCCCTACCACACAAGCCTTATTCCGCAAGGTACCAGGTTGACTGTGCCTACCTTAAACTAACACTTTTCACACAGCTGGTATCCAGCAATCTGCATCTAAAATGGTGATTCTGTAAAAGGGTTGATTCCTAGTTATCTCAGCAAGAGAAAAATTTTTATATGAGATTGTGCATTGTTAGATTTGTTTATCTTATTATTTCATCTTTTTTTTTTAATTATTGAATCTTGATGGAATTAGCATTAGCCATAATAAATAAAACTATTGTTGAAATTTTTTATTCTTCCACTTCCAGATGATGTCTAGGTTGACTTGTTGCCTTCCATTTGTTTTTGTTAGGTCCAATGCATCACAAAAGAAGCTATTTCTTTTATTTATACTTTTTTTAATTGCTGTTTAAATGGCTGAACTTTATGAAAAATTTAGTTGCTGTGACTGATCTCACTTGTCTGACAGTAACATCAGAACAAGCCCACGAAATTCATCTTGCCAAGGTGTGCAAGATTGCTCCTCTCGTTGGACAGAGCCGTGAGCAGCATATGGTGTCTTCCTGTTTCCGTGGTTGTCAAAAATGTTCCTGTTTCTGCGAAATCATCAATTGTCATTGCCCCCTTCCCAAAGGGGTTACATAGTGGGGGGGGGGCTGACTGGACATTGGCCTCTCAAAATGTAGGAAAGCAAAAAATTTTTAGATTTGAAAAAAAAAAAATTTTTTTTAAAGAAATAATTAAAAAATATTTACAGTCTCAGATATTTGCATGAATAAAGCTAATACTGTATTTAAAAGGAAAGAGAGAGGTGTTTGAACTCTGTGTTGATTTTGGCAATGAACTAAAAAATCATTTCCTAAAGTAAAAAATAATATTCTTCAAAATTCTGCATAAGGGTTAGTTATAATAAAATCTTTCAAAATAAATATTCATTCTAAAACAAAGTTCTAAAATGACGTTCTTTCTTCTAAAATAACTTCTGCTTTGGTCTTAATTGTGCCTTTGCAGCTTTTAATTCTTTTATTTATGCAAATCCAATATACTACTTATTTCTATTCTGAATTCGATATCGATAACCTTTATAAAAGGCTAAAGGGTTTTTTCCTTTTAGTTTCAATAATGTCTAAAACATCCATATCGATGAACATAAGATGTGAAAATAGCATTTAAATAACATTGCTAATATTGTACCAGAATTACAAATAGAATGGAACTAAAGATTTTTTACAAAGAAACTGCCCAGTTTTTAATGATTCATCGTGACATCTCCTGAGGAGCTGTGAGAGGAAGACTGTACTGTCCGATTTTGCAGGAACAGGAAGAATTTTGAAAAATGCGGAAAGAGGAATTGAGGAAACAGAACTACTTCGCACCATACAGGTGACAGAACAACTTTGTTCAGTCCCCCCTTTTTGATGGACAGCACCCTATGGGAGATTAGTCCGAGAGTCTCCCATCCCTCTTCCCTTATGACTTTAGGCTCACCGCATAATTTAGAGTCCCCTCATGCTGTACAGACCCTATACATTTGCAAACATTCATGCCTTCTCCGAGATTCAAACCTGGGCCTTTCAATTTGATTTTTGAATGAAAACTTTTTGTCACCATTTTCTCTTGTTTACTATCATAAGATGCTTTTATATCCTATTTCCACTTGTTTTGGAACTGTTTTTTTAAAGGGGAGTGTCTGTTGATGAAGGTTTGTCTGTAATATTAATAATTTTCCTTTTTTCTTTTTGGCAGGTAAAGTTGATGTGAAAACTTTGAGCCGCCATAAAAAGCATGACCTGAATAGAATAGATCGTAAAAATAAGGTATGTACACCAGAAAGCTTAAAGTTACTTAGGCATAAATTTGTTTAATATCTAGAAAGTAATACATATTTTTCAAAGATTAAGTTATTTTTGTAATCTTTTAATCAGTGTCTGGACACTTAATTAAACTCATTGACTAAATAAACTTAGGCTAAAGATTAATATCAGTATTTTCATTGTACTGTAAATTTCTAATAATCTGTCCAACTTGTGACCAAAGATTGTGAAGATTATAAACCATGTCTTCCAGAGTTTTGTTTACATTTTCCCTTTTTGAAATTTTACATTAAATTTGATTGTTTGCACTTAAAGGGGAAGGAGCTACCAAAAATATTCTTACACCAAAAGACTTATTTCATAAAGATTTATATATTTTAAAAATACACTCTGACTCTCTGCAACCTCTCTGAAAAGTATGCAAGTTGTTAGTGATTAATTTTTCGCCAGGTTTATGTGAGAAAGGCGATAGCTGTTTTGAAAATGGTTATGTACTAAGAATTCCATAAAAGAACTGTATATCACATAATTAACGGTGGGGAACAAGAAACTTCCATAATAAAAATGTAACTTTTTCAAGAAATTTTTGTAATTTCTTTTTTTTTTTTTTTCTACTGTTTTTCTTCCTATGCTACATAAACAATGTGCATTTAAGTTAGAATAACTTCCAAAAAGTTGTTAACAGCAGAATATGCACCCGAAAGTGGAGATTAATCTAAATCAAAATTTTCCGATTCTGTACTTATTACAAAAGTAGAATACTAACATTTGTGCAGAAAATCCTAAATAAGAAGAAAACTAATTTATTGGTTAAGTGAAGTTTAAGTGAAGAGTATCTTTTTTTTTTTTTTTTTTAGTTCAATTAGCATGCAGTGAGAAAAGAAGACTTAAATATATCATGCTGAATTTTTTGAGAACAGAAATCTTGTTTGTTTATATCCGAAAATGAACAGGGATAACTAGCATTAGCTAATTATTTGAATTCTGCTGTATATTTTATTATTTTAAATATTGCCAGTAAATTACTTTACATGAAATTGCTCTTTTTGTGAGGTTAAAAATATCTTAAAAAATTTTACAGTTATTTTGATGATTACATTCCTTTATTCAGTTTTGTTTTACATATTTTTTCATCCTGTTTTTTCTATCATGAAGCTGAGTCAGATTCGTAAAGCAAAAAGGGAAGAAGTTGTTATGCAGAAGAGAGGCTTAGGAGGTGTAAATAGTCCACCAATATTGACGGTAAGTAAAAATAAGGAAATATTACCTTTAAGCCATTAATGGCCAAAACTACAAGGAATGTTTCTTTTCTCATGAAAATAATAACAAATATTGAGTTAAGCATTTATAACATAAATTTACATTGAAAATTAAAAAAAAAAAAATGTCTCATGTGGAAACGCGAGAGTTGCGTTTGCGCAACGTAGGGAATAGATCGGACGTTTAGGAGTAGGATTGTACTGTGTCAGTTCTTTTGAGTGGAGCGCAGAGATTTTAGATGCAGAACGTTTTAATTACAAACACTTACTGTAATTAATAAGGTACCGTATTATTACTACGTACACATTGGGGCAATTGTTAGTAAAAACGTATGAATAAAAGAAAATGACCATTAATGACAGATAATTTTTACTACAGTTTTTTTTATTATTTTGTTTAAAATATAACATCGCAATTAAACCCTTCGGTTTCGAATGATAAGTGCAGAATTATTTTTCGGCGGAAATCTTTGGCTAGGCTTTTATATGATGAAAACCGTAGCGCCATAACCTGTACACGTCGACTGATTTTACTAAAAAAACATCCAGAATTGCACAAAAACGCCATTGCGCCAACTCTTGACTTATCAATGTACATGCTTTTTCTCATAAATTACAAAAACGCACAAAAATGCAGGAAAATGGGAATCGCCACCCATGCTCTTTTTACAAAACTACGTATAACACGTAGGGTTGACAAGTAGGGTCGCCAATTTCGCATTTATGAGAATTTGGCCTGTTGGTAATACGTACGTACCTAATTTAACATTAAATATACATGTATTTCTTTACAAATAGATATTTCAATGAAAGCTTCACGATGAAAAGCTGCTACAATCATGATGTAAAGCTACTACATACTTTGCATATAAACCGTCTGCTATGGTACTCTTTTCAACAAAGTCTTTTGTATCAACGGCTTCAATAAAATGTTTACCATCTCATGCACTGGTTTTGAATGGATTTACTAGTTCTGTGCTATCATTTCTGGCTAAATCTACACTATCATAGAGTTGCAAAAAGGAATAAGCTTCTCACGTCTGAAATTAAAATAGTACTGCCAGTAGTGAACGGTGTTGATATTAGTAAGTTTAGATTGGTCTCACCTATAATTATCAGTTGTCAATTGACTATGTAACTGCAAATCGCTCATATTCGTTCGCAAAATGATATCGATTCTCGTACAACGAAACAGAAAGTCCTTATCAAAATACCATTACCTTTTCCTGAAGTAACGAATGATATCCTGTAAGCAATAATATCAATAAATCTTCTCTACAGGCTCAGATGCAATAATTTGGCTTCTTTTTTTTTTTTTTTCCCTGAGCGTATATATTGTCGTTACGAGAAGAGAGTAAGTCTAACCAAAACAAAAATCGAAAATCTGGCACAGTTTTACCTTCATTGTCTTTTTAATTTCTTCTCAGTTTCTTCATGTTCTTCCTGAGACAGAACTAACAGTTCCTTTTATCCACTTTAGATTCACTTCTGCTTTTAAACTTTTTAGATGATATAAGCTTAGAAGCTAAAACGTACTTCTTACTGAAATTCTACTTCCAGGATCTTTGGTAAAATATCATTATCCTTATTTAAAACGTTGCCTTCCTTTCTCCTTCGTCACTAGCCTGCAATTTGTGGGAGAACAAAAACAATATCAGTTTCATTCTGGTCATTATTAAACATTATCATCATCTGTTCTTCATCAAAAAATCTTTGAAGGGCTTCTTCTAATGTAAGGTACCTTCTAGGTTTAAAACAACCAGACATGAAAGGAAGAGTGAAAAAGGAGATTGACTACCCGTTTTTGCTGACGCGTCAGCGCAACACCTGTTTCCCTTTTCGCAACACAAATATAAAAATCTGAATGATGTAATGTTTGAAAACAGTGATTTGACTAAAAATAGATCCTCATAAGACGGCGATTCTTTGTTAAATATTTCAGAAAAATACCCGGTCGAAATTTTGCTCAATTTGCTTAAAGTATGAGATTAATTATTATAAACAAAAGATGTTGAAGGCAAATAATTTTTTACAGAAATAATCCTCATAATATTCCCTATACAAAATCATCTGCTGGTATAAAATATCTTAGGTAGTTATATTTATATACGCATTTATTTTGACTGTTGCATCAACGCAACACCAGCGGCTTATGGGTTAAACAAAAGAATGATTCTTTAAGACTTTGTGCATGATGATTCTGTGCTTATTAAATTTTACATTTTGTAGAGTACATCTGTATTTTAATGTATAGTATATAGTATTTAACTTCTACAAAGCCTTAGACACCTCAGATAGTATATCATCCAGTATATTTGTTGTTTCTAAATGCCAAGCTGTAGACTTTAATGTCATTAGCTGTCAAGTTTTCCAATTTTTAATGTCACTATAATTTTATGGACAGTGAAAATATACATATGTTCAGCATTACAAATTTGTCATGATGTGTGAAAACACAGAGGGGAAATCATTTAAATTAAAACAAAATTAATGAGCGAAAGATAATCGTAAAAAGCATGCAGATTTAGCTTTTCCCAGGTGAAGCGCATGAAGGTCTGCTTTTGCATACTCATCCAGTATCTATCCAAATCACCTAATAATATACCACTCTTTAACCCATATAGATTGGTATTTGGTTTTTTTAAAGATAAATAACAATGTTATTTTATTTGCCCCCCCTCCAGTATTTGATTTCTTTACACACACACGTCATTCACATAAAGCAAATTAAAATTGATTACTTATTGCTGTGAAATAATTTGCAATATCATTAAATTTAGAAAACATAAGTAAATAAACTGCAAGCAAGTAAATACAAGAAAAAATAATACAATCCTAAAATTTATTATCTTAAAAACTTTTAAAATAAATTTTAATGTGCATGAAGTGAATAATTGTTCAGCAGGCAGGAGACAGATCTTTTCAAGGGGGAAGGTGCCCTCAAACCTAACTTTTCAATTACCTAATTCACGTTTCGTCATCTATATAGGTGTGGATTAAGAAATGCACAAAACCAAAAGTAGTACAGTCAAAAGTCATTAATTCGGACACCCATAATCCGGAATGAGCTATAATCCGGACCTCAGAGCTAAAATCTTTCGGCGCATTGACGCATGCGCATAGGCGTTTATGCATGCACGCAAGACCTTTACGACTGCACATATGTGTGTGCGCAAGTGCAGAATACATTTTCACGTGCGTGTTTAATGTATAACGGACAGTATAAGCTAAAATTATCTAATTATTATTAAAATTATCAGTTAATGTTGATGATTGCGTTGTTCCTTAATCTTCGAAATGGATCCGGCTTATTGTTTTTTGCAGACTGTAAGAGCAATTTTATAAAAGTAAGCTTGAACTTTCGATTATGTCAAATAGAATTTCCGATGCTGGAGCTTCCAAAGTATGTTTCGATGTCCATCAAACAAAAAGTGGAATTGCTACAAGAAATGGATAAAGGCATATAAGGCATATCCTTTGTTTATCTAACCGTTCCGAAATCTGTTTATCAATTTCACGCTGCTCTGCGCGGGGGGGAGATGTCGCGGCGCGCAATTAACTGGAAGTTGATCTGTCAGCACTATCCTTATCTTCAGGGCAGATGTTTTTATTTTATTCGGCTTATAATTCCTTACTAAATGTAGTATTTCATCTCAATGTACTCCGTCTTTGATATGATTTAAATCAAACTCCTTGTCATTATAAATATCACGAATACAAATCAAATAGTTTTCTGGTTGCAATTTTCTAATTTCAATTTATGCGTAATGTATGCTTTACGCATGTGCGCGTTGAAAGAAATGTTTAATAAAGTAAACAAATAATTATTAAGCTTCATTTTTTGTAAATTTTGATACCCTTTAGATCATAATTGCTCATTATTTTATAAATTACGGTTTCATATTTTTAATTTTGTAATTTCTGCGTGCCATCTTACCAGATTTAAACTGATGATCTATAATCCGGAAAAATCGATAATCCGGAATCGCCGAAGTCCCGACGAGTCCGGATTAAAGACTTTTGACTGTAGTATGTTAAAAATCAGCCATCTTATGTATTGTACTGCTTTTAATATTGCCTTTGATAACCTATCCATTCTCCAAACAGACTATGAATAAACAGAGTGAATCATCAGCAGTGATCCTTATTTATTGATCTCACAAAATCACTTAATAATACTTAGTACCAGAACAGATTTGCTAAAAATGATTAAAAATCGTAGTGGCCTATTAAAATATTTCAGCTCTTTGTAACCAGCAGACTCAAAAGCGCTGAATAAGAGTTTCAGAGATTTACTAAAATGTTGAGCGTTTTTCACAAGTTCTAATTTTCAAGATCACTTTTTTTTTTTAATATTTTGATGTGTAATTTAAAACAAGCAGTTTCTAAAATGTTGAGTGTTTTTCACAAGTTCTAATTTTCAAGATCACTTTTTTTTTAAAATATTTTGATGTGTAATTTAAAACAAGCAGCTGATATAGCTTGTCCCACAAGCAGTTGTTATAAGAGTAAAACAAATGAAAAATAATGCTGCATTTTTCTGAATCCAGCTTTTGCTCTTAAAATGTTATGGGTTTCCACCTCACTGTTAGTGCTTAAAAAAATAACACTTTTTTGGCATTCCTGTTTATATGTAGGTATCTGTGAAACAAAAACAAAAACAAAAAAAATGTTATCATCATTAATAAACTTTTTCAAGTAAAAAAAAACTAAAAAATAATAGAATATTGAAGTGTAAAACAAATAAACTTCTTTAAGTAGTCATGAAATGAATCATCATTTTCTTTAATAAATCACTTTTTCAGTGTCCCATAATTTCCTAACTACTCATTCTCTCTGGGGGGGGTGCTGTTCAAAGAGAATTCTATTTACCGTGTAAATTTTAAGCTTGTACTTTAATTGTTATTCTTCTTTGTAACAAAACTAATTTTTAAAAGCTTATTGACCCAACAAATATAAATATATATGATAAGCTTTAAAATGTGTTAGAATCTGAAGTACAATATATTTAAAATTCTGAACTGCCGTATTTACTGATTTCCTATACTTTATGCAACTCTAGACAGGTTCTTGCTTTTTTTTTTTTTAGTATTACTTCTTAGAATTCCATAATTTTGCACATCGAGAATTGTTCTGTCTTTCACTATTTTCATTATAATTATTATTTTAGAAAGCATTTTAAGAGGCAGAAGCTGGAAAATGAAGCATTATTTTTCATTTGTTGCATATCAGTTACATTTAGAGTGAATTTAAATTATGCATCAAAACATAAAAAAAAGTGATGTTAAAAATTAAGAACTTGTTAAAAATACTAATTGGAGTGTACAACATTGAAAATACACCACATAAAAAAAAAAAAAATAAATAAATAAAAAATAAAAACTGGTGTGTCTTTATCCCCCCTTCCTAGCAATATTGTGAAGCTGCCAGTTTTGTAAAAGTATCATTCAGTTACATTTTCAACTATTAAATACTTGAATTATGATTCAACAGATTCTTCCTTCAACATAAATGTTTGTAAAAAAATTATGTCTTTGATAAAAGACGATGCAGAGAACAAATGATAAAAAGCAATAATAATGCTTATGAAAAGAAGAATCATTAAAAGAAGCTGTTAAAGCACATTTTACCAAAGACCTTTTTAAATACCATTCTTGGGGCTAAAAGTAAGCCTTTAAATTCAGTGTAGAATGAAAAAAAGGAATGAATTAATGCACTGAACTCCAAAGAATTGCAACATCATTAATTTGATTAACAAGCAAATTCGGTAAAGTTCTCATTTTTGGTAGACTTCTGAAAGTAATTCATATAACCAAAGTTTAAAATAAAGTAAAAGTGATATGGGAGCAAATGAATTTTTTCTCTCTTCAGATAAATTTAGATTTTTTTTAATTGCATGGAAGAAGTCATTCCATTTAACAAGCCTCCTTTTTTTTTTTTTTTTTTCCTTAAATCAGTTACAGTAGTGGTTTGTTGTTGCAGTTTTAATTGTGTAAGGGGATTTAGAAATAATGTTTGAAATTCTTTTTTCTGTTAATCAGTGATCAGATATTTTCTTATCCAGCACTAGATTCATTGTTTATTTAGTCATCTGTTAACCAAGAATGTTATCCAGGGTGCAACTAATATTATACTTACAAGAAGGGGAGTTAAACAGCTGTGGATAGCCATACATTCTCTTGGATATGAATCTGGTTACAAGGTTATAACAAGCAACTTCACTAACCACCATAGATATTTTGAAACTTGATATTATCCTAAAACTAATTACTAGTGTTTGTAGCTTCCTCATTTTATGTGTTTTTTTATAAATATGCCTTTCTCTGTGTCATTTAATGCATGGGCATCAGAAATAATATGTAAATTATTTTATAACAGTGTTAAAATATAACTTTCTTAAAAACAGTCGTATTTATAATTTTTGTACAAAAAAGTTCATCATTTTCTGGATTATTTCAGTAAGTTGCATGGTTAATTTACTTGAACTTTTATAGGTGATTTTGCCACTTAATGATACAATTGATGCTGAAAAATTTCTGGATGATATGAAAAATTGTGATGATGATAACTTGCTTGTTATCAATAATAAATTTGGCCATTGTCATGTAAGGTAAATGCTTTTGATCATATTGAACAAAGAATATCATTTGAATTAAATCATCTTTCTTACTGAATGAAATAAAGTAGAATATCAATGTATAATTTTAAAATTTGAATGAATTTATGTATTAAGCCAAATGATTCTTGGCTTTTTCAAACACATCTTAACCTGCATTTCAATAAATAAAAAAAATTTTGAATTTTTTAAAATTAATTCTGAATTATCCTTATATTGTTATATAATTAAAAATTTTTAGTGCTATCATATTATACATATGACCACTTTAAAGTCGCAAACTCTTTATCAACTATTTATCGTTATCAACTATTTATGGAAAATATTTGTAAACTCGGTGAGTAATATTTTGCCAAGTTAAAGGCAACATACATTTTCAAAATGGTGGCATGTTAGAATTTTATATAAGAGTAAGCAATTAATAAAACTGAAAAAACAAGAAACATTAGTAATAAAACATGTACCTTTTTTCTATTATTGTCCTCTTCGTGTCCATAGCAGTTTGTTTTCACTTAAAAAACATCGTAAAACTGCGCAAACTTGACATTGTACAACATCCATATTGCATACCAGCCAAAATAGACATGTGCGAAGTATATGTTTATCGAGGTTTCTAAGTCCATTAAACAAAAAGTGGAATTGCTGCAAAAAATGGATAAAGGCAAAACCTTTGTTTATCTAACCATTCCGAAATCTGTTTATCAATTACACGCTGCTCTGCGGCAGGGAGACGCTGCGGCGCGCAATGAATTGGAAGTTGATCTGTCAGCACTATCCTTATCTTCAGGGCAGATGTTTTATTTTATTTTCCTTATAATTCCTTACTAAATGTAGTATTTCATCTCGATGTACTCCATACTGATATGATTTAAATCAAATTCCTTGTCATTATAATTCACTTCCGAAGCGAAGAAAGTAAAGTAAACAAATAAATATTAAGCTTTTTTTTTTTGTAAATTTTGACACGCTTTAAATCATAATTGTTCTTTATTTCATAAATTACAGTTTCATATTTTTAATTTTATAATTTCTGCATGCCATCTTACCAGATTTAAACTGATGATCTATAATCCGGAATCGCCGAAGTCCCGACGAGTCCGGATTAACGACTTTTGACTGTATAACTGTTTTGCCTCGTAAATCCTTTTTCATGACTTTCCAGTGGGAATGCAGATACCAGAAAGTACCACGTTTTACTTATGGAAAACATTTTATGTATTACAAAATATTTGAAGGTTTTGTTACATGAAGTATATATTTTTGTCTGTCTGTTTTTTATAATATTTGGTTAAATTAAAATATTATAATGAAACTTACATAATTAATACATAATTTTATTCTAAACTTTACTCTGTAAAATAATTTTTCAAATTGTGTCATCTTTCAATTATGTCAATGTTTTTTGCTCGGAATATTTTTTCAATAACAGCTGTCAGAACAATATTTGCTCTTTAGCAGTATTTAAAATTCTGTATTTGTAGGCATTTTAAAATTTTATATAATGCTTGCAAGTTATTATGAAGAAAATAAAAGAATAAAAGTCTTGTATTTATTATGGTATGAACAGCCTTTGAATAAAGTCCCTGCAGGACTCTTGTTTTCGTTTTGCGATTTTGCATTGAAAACTTTAAAAGGCTGTATCATTTTACAAATCATTACCACCAAATACTATCGCGTTGTATTATATTTGAAGAAATTAAATAATGAAGAATCTGCATAAATGTATGTATGTTTCTCGCATTGGGATAAAACAATGGTACCTAGAGCCATCCAATTTTGAATGACATAATCCTGCTGAGAATATGGGCATCTGAAAGCCCAAACTTGAAATTTGGAATTTGTTTTATTATCAATTTCATATTTTGTAAAACTTTAACGAATTTTTGATTAACATACTCAAGGATTTCAAAGCAAGCAGTGGTAACACTCTACCGGGGAGGGGGAATTTTTATCTCCAGCGCGCCGAACTGTGTATCAGAAATTCTAAAGATATGCTCATTTTAAAATTATTTTGTGACATTGCTGAATTTTATGGTTTAAGTGCAAAGAACATGATATTTAATAAATAAAGGTAACACAAGACATTAAAAAAAAAAAAAAAAAAAAAAGCACCTTTGGACTTAATTTAAAATCTCAAACTGTTCAGTTTCTTTTTTATGTTTTGAATGTTTTCTTTCATTTGTAACAAATTCATTAATCTTTTCTGTCATTCATAAAACCAGTTAAATTTTGCTAATATTACCAGTGTCGCTATAAGAGGTCCTAATGGTAATTTTTAACTTGCTGAAAGCAGCTTTTAAAAGTTCAGGCACCTTTATGCTAGGACACTGATATGTTTGTAAAATTTGCATGTCCTTTGCTAATCAGAGTAGCTACCTGAAACCCTATTTTCATTGCAGTGCTCTGGCATAAAGGTGCTTGCACTTCTATGCTATGACAGTTTACATATTTTCTTATAGTGACCAATGTGTTTAAAGGTGACATGGCACCATTATGAAGCAGTCTTTCAAATTATGTTTCTTGTTCATAAAAAATACCATTGAGTGGGTGTGCCAAAGTTTTCAGTAAATTAGTCAGCCTCTTTGATATTGAGCATTTGAAAGTTATATTATTTAGGGATTGTTTAGCCCAAAAGCTATTGATTTCACTTACTACTATGTATTTTCACTTAACAGCACAGAGTAAATCCTTATGCAAAGCAAAATATTAGTCACAGTTTATAAATCAAAAATGAATATTTTTTTCAGAGTCATTAGCATTGAAGTATTCTGTTTCCTATTATCAGTAACATTCCTGAACCTTGAAACTGTAGCGGTTGTATCTAAAAAACAAAAGTAAATCTAAATAGTTCAGTGATATAATCCTTTGGGGTAAATATCTGTAGAGTTTTTTTTAATTATTATTGTTATTATTTTAATGTGTGTGCATTTAAGCAATGCTAAGGTGTTCAGTATCATATCCAGTAGCTTGAATAAAAAGTATCATGAGTTATAATAAACAGCAGTGCTTTATTTAGCATTCAAAAAGTACTCAGTATGAAAAACAGAGCTGACAGTTTCAGAAACAGTAAAAGTTATTAATGAGGTAAATGTGTCAACAGCATAACACAGTGCTCTCAAATATAACCCAAGTTGAGGCTATGTTTGTTGTGTCTTTTATGCTATGGGCATGCTGTAGGTAAAATTTGAAATGACAAACAAATTCATCTTAGCTTGCCAATTTTATACTCTTCTGCAGACATTGCATTTAGCTTCATTCTGCAAAAATACTGAATTTCCCTAACATTTCTCCTGCTTTGCTGATAAAACTGTAATTCCAGTTTGATATGTGTAAAATTCAAAGAGTGAAATTTTATTTTAGAAATTGTTTTTGTCACGATATCTGAAATTATTTGCTTTGCTTTTTATGTAAATATTTAAATTATTTGAGACATCAAAGAAAAAAAGACATTTCAGACATAAAGATCATAGTGAAACATCATACAGTCAAAAGTCTTTAATCCGGACTCGTCGGGACTTCGGCGATTTTTCCGAATTATAGATCATCAGTTTAAATCTGGTAAGATGGCATGCAGAAATTATAAAATTAAAAATATGAAACCGTAATTTATAAAATAATGAGCAATTATGATCTAAAGGGTATCCAAATTTACCAAAAAAGAAGCCTAATATTTATTTGTTTACTTTATTAAACATTTCTTTTAACGCGCGGATGCGTAAAGCATACCGTACTCATAGCCAAAATTAGAAAATTGCAACCAGAAAACTATGTGATTTGTATTCATGATATTTATAATGACGAGGAATTTGATTTAAATCATATCAAAGACGGAGTACATCGAAATTAAATACTACATTTAGTAAGGAATTATAAGCCGACTAAAATAAAAACATCTGCCCTGAAGATAACGATAGTGTTGAAAGATCAAGTAATTTTAAAAATTACAGGAGTCTGGCATGAAGAAAAGTGTGAAATCATGTGAATATACCCATTTTCACTGGCTATGAAGCATGAAAAATTATGATAAGCAATTTAAGCTAAGTTCATTGCGCGCCGCGACGTGCCCCCTCGCACAGAGCAGCGTGAAATTGATAAACAGATTTCGGAACGGTTAGATAAACAAAGGATATGCTTTTATCCATTTTTTGTAGCAATTCGTTTTTTGTTTGATGGACATCGCAACATACTTTCGTTTTCTAGATCCTTTGGGACCTCCAGCATCGGAAATTCTATTTGACATAATCGAAAGTTCAAGCTTACTTTTAGAAAATTGCTCTTACAGTCTGCAAAAAATAATAAGCCGGATCCAATTTGAAGATTAAGGAACAACGCAATTATCAACATTAACTGAAATAGATAATTAGATAATTTTAGCTTTTACCGACCTTTATACATTAAACGTGCACACGAAAACGTATTCTGCACTTGCGCAGATGCATATGCGCAGTCATAAATGTCTTGCGCGCACGAGTAAAACGCCTATGCGCATGCGTCAATGCGGCGCATGCGCAGAAAGATTTTAGCTTTGAGGTCCGGATTATAGATCATTCCGGATTACGGGTGTCCGAATTAACGACTTTTGACTGTATTTAATTATAAAATTCCATCAACCATGAAAATTAATGTCACCAAACTTATGCCAGTCAATCTGCATAAATTTGAAGGAACAGATTGTTCCTTATTTAGGTAATCATCATATTCAAGTTATGGAGATAACATAAAAAAAAAAAAAAAAAAAAAAAAAACTTAAATTGCTTATCATAATTTTTCATGCTTCATAGCCAGTGAAAATGGGTATATTCACATGATTTCACACTTTTCTTCATGCCAGACTCCTGTAATTTTTAAAATTACTACTGCATACTGTTTCATTGAAGTCCTAAATTTTAATCATTTTTTTTTTCAAAATGCAGTTGAAAAACAGATAAATAGCAGTTAACTTATATTGTTTTTTTTTTGCAAAAATTAAACCGAATTATCAATAATTCATCAGATTTACATAAAACCAAAGTGAAGATCTTAATGATTGGGTTGTCATGTTGCTCTTATCCATTATTGGTGCTAAATTTCCACACATAATAGTTTTCATCAATTAACTTTTTAGATCAAATTTATTCTTAAATAGACATTATCACTTGTTACTATTACCTTTAAACCTTGGAAACCTGCTACTATCTTAGAATAATTTAGAAAAAATTTCAAATTTTTAGGAAGATTTTGATAAATGAATTTTTTAAACTTCAGTCTCATAATCATTGATGCATGTGCATTTAAACTTTAAAAGGCTAAGGTGCTGATTATCCTTTTCTCTAGCACAGGTTAAAAAAAAAAAAAAAAGGAAAAAAAAAAGAAACGTAAGTTATAATAAACATTAAATAAAAAATTAATGTTTATTATAACTTACGTTTAGAAGTGGTCTGCAAAAGCAGTAAAAGTAACAAGGTAAATGTTCAAAACATGTATCACAGTCCTCTCAGACTTAAATTGGTATCTCATCAATGCAGCCTGAGGCTAAAAGTCCTAACTCAAATTCTGAATATTTATTTTTAAAAATATTTTATATATATAACAGAAAATACCATCAACCGCAAGAGATTGACACCATTTGCGCCAAACCAAAAAAAAAAAAAAAAAAAAACTATTTACTAAATACAAGAAAAAAACATTCTATTCTTATTTTTCTTCAAATTTATTATATTATTATTTATTTATATTTAATTTTTCCTCAGTTTTTAAATAAAGTGTCATTTCGTGGGGCCATTAACACATTTTTTTAGGCAGTTAAGATTTCATAACTTTGGAAATATTCAACAGCATGCTCTTCTGTAGTAGGCAGGTCCCAAGTTTTAATTTTTTTTTTTTTGAAAATGAGTGATAGAGGGAAAAAAAAGGAGTCTTTATTTAAGAATAATAACTAACACGTGTAATCAAGGTTACACCAAACCCAGTGTGTTTAAAGAAGACTTTTCCATTTTTGGCGAAAAATTGCGTAGTTTGTTGTCTTTTCTTTAATAGGCAAAAATGGTCGACAGGATTTTTCGTAAGTATCTATATATGTATATAATATATCAATATACAAAACTTGCATTTCAGGATTATGTTAAATATTCCGAAAATAGTCCTTATGTTCCATGTTTGCATAACTTTGCTCTAATACTTCCAGGTGCCAACTACATTATACATATTCAGTTTTGCCCAGGGGTTGGCACAGAGCACTCTGTGCAGTACTGGCTAGGATCTGTACCTAGGCAGTCTCGGCCATGGGGGTATAAAATTCATGAACTTGGCAGTTCCCGGTGATCCATGGGGTAGGTTCACCTTCACTTTTCACGGGTCGGGTGGCATAAGTCTCCATTAACTTGAATATCTCAGTAGCCGAATAACACTTGGGCCTTTGAGTATCTTGTCCCTACTGTCCTCGGTAATCTGTATAAAGCCTGAAGGGAGGGGCCGCCCACGTAGTACTGGCAGGTAGCACTTTCAACAGCCAGTAAAAGCTTCAAGTTTTGATACCCAACCCACTGTAGTCTCTTTTCACTGGGATGGTGGTCTTGGCTGGCTAGTGTTTAGCAGTGGGTTTAAGAGCGAGCCTTAACATGTTGATGATCTTGAGGATGTGGTACTCCTGGACTCAACAGAGTATTATACCATCCTTTGGGTGGCTTTATGGCTGATATTCTGTATCAGTCCCCAAAATGTAATCGAGTTCACGGGTCAGGTACAGATTTTGGTTAGTTAGTTCATCTGTGTTGTGAACTTGCTGCATGATGGTTTATGGGAATTTCAACCATATCCTGCTCTTTCTGGAATTGATCAACGAGTTTGTTGATAGACTGCTCATAATATCCAAAAGCCAGATTTCATAAAATCGATCAATTTTCAGCATAATAATAATACCCGCCACAAAATGGACAATCATAGAAAAACTCCCCTCCCCCCAACAATGACAAAATAACATCTTCTAACAGAAAAAATTCCAAATTTACTGCTGTCTTAAAGCCTAAATCTTATTCCAAAACAGTTAACAGCGCAAACCTCAATAAAAACTTTATGAAGTTCTTTTGCACAATGAGGGAGCTTAAAAACATCTTCAGAGGCACTCAATTATCCTAGTTAACATTTCTTAGGAATAACAACTGACTGCAAAGAATACTTAAATCCCAGTGGAGAAAATGTACATTTCATTCCAAATCTCTGAAGAAATAAGTACATTTCAAAATAATATTTAAATAAGTACTCTTATGTCTTAGGTTATTTGCATAGGTCACTCAAAAGTTCAGTGTTTTAAGATGCATATATGCTGCTGGTAACTGTGGAATGGAACACAAATTTGTCTCAGCTTGTCAAATTTATGCTCTTTCAGTTACATAATGCAAAAGTGTTGAATTCTTCTAACAAATTTTAACTGTGTGTATAAATGAAAATTATATTTTAATGCTTGAACTTAAATAAAACTTAATAAATGTAAAAGTTTTTCCTCTGTTAATAAAGAAAAAAGTAAGATACTTGCAAATTTTGATTTTTTTTTTTTAAATTTAAATGAAAATTTATGCTCACCAAACTTGAAATTACTTTGCATGCCCAATATGTTAAAAAGTAGATAAATAAATAAATGGATAAGAGAAGATAATACATTATTTCTAATTAAAAAGAAAAAACTTCCATCATAGTTTCTAAATTGTGGAGTCATTGAGTTTTTTTTTTAAGCAGGACATGTGAAAAATGTGCAGTGCCCTCACCAGGATACAAACCCTGGACCTCTCAAATACACTGCTTCCATTTGCACCACAAAGGTATATGGAAAGGAAGGAGAGAAATACCTTATAAAATTCAATTTCCAAAGCATTAATGAATGTATTTAAAATTTATTTATGCATGTTTACAAGATGCTCTTATCAAATTTTTTTCAGAGCAGTGAAAAACTTCTTGAATTTATATAATTCTTAATTTGCATAGCTTTACATTTTTATTTTTTTTAGATATGTGGAGCTAATTTTATTTCCAGAGTATTGATTTATAATACAAAATGTGTATGTTGTATGTATCATATGAATTTTTGACTTTATTTTTTTACTACATAAGTAATTGCATAATTATTTCAATAACTTCATGAAATTTTCTCTTAAAACATCACTTACTATTTTATATTCTTTAGTTCTTCTCGACTGAAACAAAGATTTACTTTTTTAATTCCTAATACAAAAGATCTGATTTCTGTGATGGATGCTATGAAGGTACATTTTTAAAATGTCTTATTTTATTTATTAATTTAAGTAATTTTCTGTTAACCTTTGTTTACTGAAATGTGACTTTTCAGGTTGCTGATGTTCTAGTTCTGATCCATTCTTCTGATCCTCCAGATGATAACAAAAATATGCTTTTGTCTGTGATCATTGCTCATGCTTTACCTACAACAATTCATGTTGTTCAGGTAATGTTATCACTTTAATTTTTGATGCATTATGTTTTCAAGCAAATTGTAATATTGTTCTCTTTTGTTCATAGAATAAATGTACAAATGAAATTACAGTACAGTCAAACCTCTATTTAATTAAACCCTATTTTACAAATTCTTCTATTTCGCAAATTTTTTTCAGAATTTTACCCAAGGTGTGAATTTTGTTGTATACAAATCTAGTAGCTGTGAAGTATACTAATTATTTATCAAAATTTTACAATAAATGCTTTTTCAAGGTTACTTTGAAACTATTAATTTGCTGTGACACAAGTGTGCAGCTCTGATTCTCAAGAAAAGCAAGTGGTGCATTATCTATTATCCTACTCCATAATACAGGAGGAATGAAATGGGGAGAGGGAGATTCTTGAATGAGAACGCATTTACCCACTCTTTTGTTGAAAATTCGCCAATCAGTCGTATTTCGCAAACCAGTAAGGTTAAGCAACAGCTGTATGTTATTTTTATTTTTTGTTGTTGTTGTTATATTGCAGTTCCTTTTTAAAGTAAGTTGTGTAATAATTGACAGAAGTGTCAAAACAAATGTGTCTAACACTTAAAAAAAGAATGCTGATTCTTGTCAAAGTGGTCAAATGTGTAAAGAAGGAAGACATTGCCATACAATTTGGTATTTTGCAAAATGGTTTATAAGACAATCCTGAAAAATGAGGACAAATTTTCATCAAGCTTCCGTTGATCCAAGTGCCATACATGAAAAAATGTGTGCAGGAAAGTGATGTTAAAATGGCCGCATACAGTGAGAGAACAGTATGTACCAGTATCAGGACCATTAATACCAAATAAACCTGCAGAGTTTGCCAAAGCTTGTAGTACAAAATGAATTTTTTGTGAGTGGCTGGGGAAATTTAAAAAAAAGGGGGGAGTGGTTGAAAAATCATATGTGGTGAAAGCAAAGATGTTAATAAAGATGACTTTCATATGGAAAGATCGAAAACTAAAAGAAATAATGAAGTGTACAAGCCAAAAGATATTTTCAATGTTGATAAAATCATTCACATTCAAGAAAAAGAAATGTTTTGGAGGCAAGTATGGGAAAGTTGAGTTACTGTACTGTTATTTTGGAAATGTAGAAAAAAGTGAAAAATTGAAACCTTTCCTCTTAAGAAAAAGTAAAAATTCAAGATGTTATAAACGTACTACATCCTAAATTATGATTTCAACAAGAACTCATATTCGTCTTCCACATCCTCGAATTCTGTTTCATCCTCACCATCACTGTTACTCTGAACCGTAAATAAATAATCACCTACCAATCAAAATCGTAAAAACAACCTAGGTATAATGAAACACTTAATCGATTTCGAGGGCAGCTAAAGGTCCCTCCTCATCAGGAGAAAGAAATACCTAGAAAGAAGAAAATAAAGGAGTCACAGAAACACGTGGTCCTTATCAGCACTGCACGTGGTTATAACTAGATTTTTAATCAGAGGGTATAAAAATCCGTTCAGTGGCTGCTTTCCATTATTTGAAGTTCAGATTTTGAGCGTAAGGTGCATTTGCCCCTCGCTCCCTATTTTAACTTCGCTAATTTTTCATGCTCGATCAGATAGCCTGGCTCAGTAAAAGTAGGTGGCCAGTGCAACTGATTATTAAAAATCTAGTTATAACCACGTGCAGTGCTGATAAGGACCACGTGTTTCTGTGACTCCTTTATTTTCTTCTTTCTAGGTATTTCTTTCTCCTGATGAGGAGGGACCTTTAGCTGCCCTCGAAATCGATTGAGTGTTTCATTATACCTACGCTAAATATAAGGTTGTTTTTACGATTTTGATTGTCACATTAGCGTGTTTCTCTTCTAGTCTAATCACTTACCACTTCATCTAGATCAGTAGTATACTGCATTTTTTAAATGACTTTTCCAATTACCTTGTGTTTAATTTAATTCCATGCTTTTATTATTCATTCACACACTATTTATGCATTTGGCCTCCTCTCGTAAATGTTTTTCACCTTTTAACATCCATGTATTTTACTGTCATTTAAAATTTTTTTTATTGGTTGACTGAAACACACATCTAATGGTGTTAGGCAACATGAAATAACTGTCATGTCACTATTACACACTTCCAACAATATCTTTGAATTATTCGTTGGAGGGTATTTGAACATGTCCCAAATTAAAAGATTTTCTAGAGTCTTTAGTTGACAGATATCTCTTATCTGCAATTTCACATTGTTTTTATCCATCCATCCTTTCTTCTGAGCGTAAATGAGAAGAAAAATGGGAAATTACATACTGGCATCGTCTTTCTTCCAAAAGCCATGGGTTTTAATTTTGTATCATCCTCTAAGCAGAAAAGCACTACAGTGAGGGGGAGATATATTGTGACCTGTTGTTTTGTGATCCTTTTTGTTCCTTTCACATCAGTTGTTTTATTTTCTACCATACCAACATTACTGGAGTTTCCTCCATACTTCCGATATGTGACAGTAAATAATTTTTTTGCCATAGTACCTTCCAATAACATACATTCAGTAACATACTTCTTGAAACTTACCAATGTGTCCAATTCTTCGGAAAGCATTTGTGAAACTCTTGTTTTTTCCCTTAGAACTAAATTATTTTATGCCATAAATGAACTATACCAACTCAAAGTTGCTTTAAAGTTTTCACTTTCATTGCATTCTATTTTGCCCACATTAAGGCAAATATACATATGCTATTTCTTGTTATAATTATTCCATTCTGGGAATTTTCTAGAACCCAGTTCACAACATTTTCTTCTAGGATAGGCCATTTTGTTACTGCTTTACACAAAAACATTTATTCTTTGGCATAATTATTGCGATTTAATTTTTTTCCACTCATGTATGGAGCTTTCACTAACACCAAGCATTCTTTCTAAAGAGCAATTTCCATTTTTTTTTTCGCAAATTGAATGACTGCATTTGAAACCAGCACTTAGCTTGTTTTGTTTGGCAGGAGCCATACTCACTACCAAAAGGAACACTAGATCAACTGTATTTAACTAAAGCAAATGCAATTTACTAAAACCTTTTGATGTTCAGTTTAAAATCATGGCTTCAAACAACTGCAGAAAGAGAAAACATCTGATTATGAATTCCACAAATTCATTCAGTTAGGAAATGCATTCTTACCCCAAATTATGCTCTGCTTTTTTCAAAACCCTAAAGCTAAATCCTTATTCACACCTGCATTGAATGCAATCACCCTCTTTGTGGAATTATTTACTCGCTCAAGATTAATATTGTTTCCCTTATCACTTGTCAATTTGGTACATTGTTGTTCGAAAGCCTGAGAAAAATCTTTGAATGAATGACTTCAAAAGATATCACATATATCTTTCAGGTATCTTCGTAAAGAAAGGGGTATGCATTATACAGGGAATACATCAGAAAATTTGAAAATATATTTTTAATTTATAGGTGCACATTTATGATGGTATATACAATAAGACTGGAAAGAGTAATAACTTTCAGTTTTTCAGTTCGTTGTGTTAATGCTTTGAGTAGTTTGAAGGGTAACTACTGATTGTAGTCTGTGGTACTGGGAAGAGCTGTAGAAGAGTGAGGAACTGAATAATATGTGGTTATTAAAAAATCGAAGACAATTAAAGAATAATGATCATTTACAAGATTACTTCTTTGTAGATAACTATGTTGAGACCTCAACAATTCCTACTTAAGAAGACGTATTGGAGAGTGTAAAAAAGTAGTAGCTAGAAAGCTACTGATGGTGACGAAGAAGATGAAAATGAATGTACAAAATCTTCAGCATAAGATATGCTAACTGCATTTGATACTTTAGAGTGTGGTTTTAATTCTGAAGAAAGTGTACCAAAAGATGTTTTCCATACATTACAAAGATGCAAGACTTATTATGATAATAAACATTGTTCCTGACAACCAAAACAAACTAAAGTAGCTGATTTTCTTAGCATTTATTTTAGCAAAGCTTTTCACATGCCTTTGTGAAATAGAGGTTTGACTGTAACTGGAAGTAAAAGCAAGTGATAGAAATAAACATATTTATTACTGTAATATTTTGATGGCCCTCTCTAACTTTGATAAATCGTGTTATTCTGGTTGTTGTAAATATACTGTAATGTCAAAAGTCACTGAGCACATGGCCCACCAGCAGCCAAGTGGTAAAGTTGCTGAACATTGGTACTTTGGTCCGAGACTCAAATCCAATGAACAGGCTAGCTGCATGGGCTTTTTCATTGTTTTCCCCATGTGTAACTTATATACGAGTTAGTTTCCCTTAGAAAGTCCTCCAGAAGTCATCCCTCACCATAGACAAATAGCCTTGAAGGCTATTTGCCTAAGGGGAGTTTATGTGTCATAATCACCTAAAACAAACCATTGAGCATGTGTTGATATTTCTTAACATATTAAAGGCGGAAGTCGTAGGGCTACGATTGATCTCGACTGTAGCTTAAAGGCGGGAGTCGTAGTACTACAATTTCTCAACTGTAGTTTAAAGGCGGGAGTCGTAGTACTACGATTTATCTCGACTGTAGTTCAAAGGCGGCAGTCGTAGAACTACAATTTATCTCGACTATAGCTTAAAGGTGGGAGTCATATTAGTGCACATTGCACAATCCATGGCCACTTTACATTTGTATTTAGTATGTTTTGTGGTTTGAAGCTGTTTGGTTGTTTACATTCTACTTACAATCTCTCTCTAATTTGTGCATTTTTCAATTCCTATTTAGTATATAACATGCATAATAATAATAGCTTGACATATAAAAAATATCTGTTAGAATTATCACTCTGTCTTATAACTGACAAAAAAAACCGAAGATCTGGAATTGATGGACACTGAAGAGCCACAACCTGGTACATCGGACTCGGCACCATGATATAAAATTGATCTGCCTGGACGTCTTTTGCTAGACATCAAGAAGCACAAATTAATTCAGATAGAAAATAAAGGCAAAAAAGCTATATACCCAACAAAACTGCGTAGTTTGTGTGCCACATAAAAAAAGAAAGTTGACTTACTTCAAATGTGAGTTTTGCAATGCACCTCTTCACCGTGGCGAGTGTTATCAACAATTTCACATAAAAAATACTAGATTCTTCTCATAAATAAGTACTTTAAAACATTTTTTGTAATTAGTGTTTAGTTCTTTTTTAATATTTCTTGTAGTTTTAAGAGTTTAAATAAACTTTTTTAAGTGTAAATTTTTTTATGATTACACAAAATATTGCCCTCTCTAGGACGAAAAACGAGGCAAGGCGGTTGCTGCGTTACCTAGCATATTTTCGTCAAGATCCCCCGCCTTTAATGTGTTAATATGAAAAGTAATTTCTGTGTGATGTTTTCATATGTCTCCTGATGTTTTTGTTGGAATGGTAGTTTATTTCATGTATTGCTCTTATTGATCCATTTGAATACTCACTTTCAATCTTCTTCTCTTCTTCTTCTCTTCTTTTTCTTTTTTTTTTTTTTTTTTTTTTTTTTTTATAGGTTCAAAAGGCCTGTGACTTTTGACATTCAGCATGACATTTGTATTAGCATTTTGGAGAATCAATTATTTTGCTTAAGATAATTGAAATCTAGTGATGATAGTGAATATTAGATAATTACTCAGAAGTGTGATATTTTCAAAAACAGAGTAACATTAGAGAACTGGAGAATGCATTATCTTTGATAAAGTTTCCTCCATGCAAAACAGATCGATTTTTCAGTTGCTAATAATTTGTGAAAGAAGTGTACTACTTACACAGCCAATTCAACTCAGCTCTTAAGCTGTTGAGTTTATTACATGTAACACAACTGTTAAGTTTATTTCAAAATATTATAAAGTACATAATTTGGCAGCACCAGTATTAAGTTTTTAGATACTAATTTTGTTAAATTTAAGAACGAAAAAAATATAAATAAATTTCTAAAGCTCTTCTGATTCCTGCTGCTTATTTTATTTGTATATATATTATACTAATAATCAATTGTGTACTGCTTGTATGTTTCTATATATTTTATTTGTGCACATACATACATTTTTTTATAAATGAAAAATGGATCTAAGTTCAGTAAGAAGTTGATGCATAATTAATTTAGTAATCTAAATTAAGAATGCATCAACTTATTGCATATTTATTGACATTATTTAGTAATATATACAATATCAATAAATTTTTTAAGAAATGCAAATCCCTTTCCTTCCCCAATAGAATGAAAAATATAAGAAATTTTAAACACTGTATTAGATCATGCATAATGGGGAAAATTTTTAGTATAAAATATTTTGGAGAGAAAGGGGTATTATAGTCTTTTTACTGGTGCTTATGAAAGAAAGGTATTAAAACTATTAACTTTATTATTTGAGATAAAAATATGTATGAAAAATATCATTTTAAGTTTTGAGATGATTTCTTAGCTTCAGTATTTGTTATTTTTAATATAGGGCTTAGAAAAATTAAACCCAAAAAAGAAAGCTGAGTGTCGAAAGCATATATTGAAAACTTTGGAAAAGAGGTAATTCTTTTTTTATAGGTTTCTTGACAAAAGTAACTAATCTTGGTTTGAGATTATATAACTTTTATTTATAAGTAAATTGTTTTGTGAAAGTTTAAACTTTACATGTGTAAAATATTATGTGTGTGTGTGCATGTATTCATTCCAAATTCTATTCATATATAAAATAGGATGTAATAGTGTTTTTTCTGATTATTCCATGTATATTCCTGTACCCAAATGCTGCATTTAAATAATCATTAAATAAAAAATAAATGATATTTTATTTATGGTATTTTGTAAGTATGTGACTGTAGAAATTTTTGTATTTGTTTATTATCACATGCATTTCATTCAATAATTTGAAATCTGTATTTGCAATATATGTTTCTCCTAGAACTTAAAATGAATGCCTACATTTGTTTAAAAAATTTAGTTTCTGGTATGTATGCCTTTACCAGAATATCATTAATGAAAAATAAAGAATGAATCTGAATAGTGAATGAATGTTACCTATGTGAAATAGTTTCTTCCTTTAAACTGATGGTGTCTAACTTGGGCACCACATGCTGGCCTTAGAACATGATAGTGTCAATGGTGTGGTGATTTTTAGCTAACAACTGTTTCTTTAAATTAATTGTGTCTCTAGTCCTAAAAGCAATTAATAACAGTCATGTTAAGGCTTTAAATTTAGTTTTTCAAAAAACACAGTTTTTTATTTAATGCAGTTTAAGGGCAGTTTAAATATATTTTTCTGTATTGGACTCTCAGTTCACATTAAACATACAGATGCGTTCACAAATAGCATGTTACAATCGGATATGCAATATAAAGAAAATTAATTAAATTGGACTTTCATAAGTTTTACCCAGTGAAGGAAAATTTCCACTGCTTTAAAAATATTTCTTATTTATTGTATTGCTTTCTTTAAAGCAATGTGGTCCAACCTTTAAATACGTGAGGGCCAACCACTAGTTTAATATGCTACTTTATTTTACAGTTGAGAAATCAATGTGATGATGGGCATTGCTTTTCTGGTACAAGTTTATCAATGCCCACTGTAACTTCAGTAAAACAAAGTCTTAGGCTCAATTCCAGTGAAGAACTTGCAATGTGATTTCTCATTTGTAATTTAATTTATTTTGAAGCAGGAAAAGCACTTTCACACACATATGTACTGGCAAACAGTGATAACATTTGCAGTGAGAATTTAAGTATTTTAGGGAAACATTGTTTAGAAATCAGTTTCCAAACATTTTCAGAGAGATTACACTTTTTTTGGTAGAATGGGTTGCCTGAAAATCACAAATTTTTTGCAGGTTGCAGAGCATCTCACTCACCTTAGTCCATGGGATTGTTTAACAGAACAAATTAAGTATTGGTTTTAGGGAATCAAAATCCTGGAACTTTTTCTTGACATCAGTTATTATTTCATGAAACATACTAAAACTAGTGTCATTTTCTTCTTTCAACTACTGACAAGATGGAAAATGGGCTGTATTATTTGCCTTTAGAGCAGTTTTCATTAGATCAAGTTTTTTGATCTAATGAATAATGATCTCTTAATATATCTAAAAAGGTAGGCATTTTTTTTCCCCCTTGTAGTTTCAGGTTTAAAACATCTAGACGGGTTGTTAAGTGTGTCGGAAAAACAAGATCATTTAAAAACTGGATTTCTTCTGTTTTTCTTGATACTCATGTACAGTATTTTCTTTTTTGAGAAAAGCAAGAATTTCATTCCTCAAGCCAAAAAAAAAAAAAAAACTACTGCAGGCAATCTCCAAATCTTAGACAATGCACTTCATAGTACAATGAACTGTTACCATATTCATCTTCCAAATTGTCCAGAAATGCAATAAATGCTCTGTCTCCCATTATTAAATTTATAGTATTTAGAACGGTTTTTCACTGTCTCACTGAGCCTTATAATGTTTCCAATGAGAGCCTACTGGTGAGTAATGCAGTGGAAAAACAAACAATGTATGCCTTTTTCTTTAGACAGTCCTACTAATCCAGTTCTATGACCAACCATTGCTTTAGCTTCATCTATTACAATGCCAGAGCTCTTCCCATGACTTCCAAAATTAGAAATATTATCCAGTGCATTAAATATATCAGTCACTTTGGTACTTGTTCCTAAGTATTTTAATTCCAACAGTTCTTCATGAATTTTAAATTCTTCATTTATTGTTCGGACAAAGATAAGAAGTTGACTGATGTCAGCTGTATCAAAATTTTTAGCCATCTTATTATCTCCAAATAATGATTCCATTTTTATGATGCATCTTTTAACGAGCTCACCATCTCTAAAAGACTTTTTACTTTTAGCTAGCTCTAAGCATACCTCATAAGATGCCTTTAAACCAGTAGTGTTTGATAATTGCTGAAAGATATACTTCTTTCTAGTTAGTTTTATTTTAATCTTTAAACAAACAACTCTTGGCACTTCTCTGTTATTGGCCATATTTATTCTGGAATTATCAATTAAGTTATTAAATTATTTCATATATTGCCTCAGCATAGCGTCCACAACAAATCAAGTCATTTTCTACGCCTTCAGTATCCTTTTGCCGAGTGAAACCAAAAGTAAACTCAGTTTTGTGCACCAAAAAATCTGCCTTCTCGCCCACTGGCTGAATTGCTTGTTTTTTCAAAGAAAGAAACTCTAATTTGAATTGTAAAAAATTTTTTTAATTGTTTTACCTGTATCTAATGTTTTATTTTTTCTATATTTTTCAATTTTTAATAAAGATGCTTTGAGGTTTCGTGTATTTTTGCCTTGTCATGAAATGCAAACTGAATTAATTGAATTGAGAAATATATGTCTAATTAAATTCGAGGAAATAAGCATAAATGAAATGCAGGAAAAAATGCATATAATTTAATATTCTACAGAAGGAAGTCATGTGGATTACACATCAGATTTTTTATTTACATGATGTTCTATTATGTAGAAGACTGGATGCTTGTATCTGAGAGAGGTATACATACGTACATTTCTTTTGCTAACAGCTAGGTGTTGTTCCTCATAAATTTAAACAAAATGATTTGTAGCAGAATATTAAATAGAGAAAATTTGTTACTATCAATAGTATATGATTATTGCATATATATATATACACTCTTAGACATAAAAAAATGACGCACCAAGAAGATATAAAGCAAATTGGACACAAATTGATATGCATACAGCTTTTGACGGAAAATGCAAAATTTTCCATTTTGTCTGCCAAAGAATGAGCATGTACAGAAGTACGCACCAAAGTCGCAGTCCTTCCTAAGCCAGTCTATTGCAATTCTCACCAAGCCATCTTATTTCATCTAATAATGCACTCTTATTTCAATAATAATGCAGTTTTTTTACATCTAATGGAACAGTTTTATTATATATATATATATGTATGTATATATTATATTAAATCTTTGCAGTATCACAACTATGTGTTTTTTATTTACAGTGAAATTGAGCTAAAATAGTAAATTTCAAGGTTTAATTCTGCATATCCATTGAAAATTTTAAGACAAGGAAGGATATCGGAATTAAATTAAACATGTAATTAAATCAATAAAGTCTCTCAGACAGTAGTAGTACAAGCTTTTTGTTTTGTGAATAAGCAAGAAACAAATGCATATGCTTCTTACTCATGTTAGTATTATGATTCATATTCTATTACTGCCAACTGTATCAGTAGATTGTCGAATCTTGCAGTGTTTAATTTTTATATTTTCCTAAAGAAAATGTTTCCCAGAAATAAAATGAAACGTAGTATAATTTTCTTTATTAAATTTAAGTCGACCTGAATTGCTTCAATCTACAGTAGTCATGTGTAGAACATTTTATCAAGATTCAACCAATGTTTAATCAATTAATATTCATGTTTAATATTATTTTACATTAATAAATGATATATTACTAAGTTTATCCATGCAACAGTATGTACATATTTTCACTGTATTAAAAATACTTTGATAAGTAAAAACTTCCTTTACTCTACTCAGGATTTTCTCAGTATAAAACTATCAGAAAGTTAACAAAATGAAATTAGACAAAGAACAAAAAATGTGGAATATCTAATTTAACCTCCCTCCTCCAATTTTAACATTAATTAGATTTGCTAGGGTTTTGACAGTTTCAGGTATAGGTGCAGTAACAGCCAGCTCAAGCATGTGCACAACACATATGCATTTGAGTACATGCAGATTTGTATTGAGTTGTGATTTTGCTGAAAGCATCTACCAGCAGTAAAAAATGTAAATATTGACCAGAGAGATTTTTGCTTACTCTCATTTCTTGTTACTTGTAAAATTATTTATGAATAAGGTGTAAAGATAGCTAAACAAATATTTTCAGCAATATTCATTAGCAATTTTTTGTGGGTTATTGATAATGAGAAAGTAACAAAAGTTCTAATTATGTGTTGAAGTTTTGTTTATTTTTTGTTCATTAATAGATTTCCTGATGAGAAACTTCACTCAGCTGACACAAAACAAGAATTTCAACTTCTTCTTCGTCAGATTGGGTGCCAAAAGCAGCGTCCTGTAGCATTTAGAGATGCACGTTTTCACTTATTAGCAGAAAATATTGAATATGATCCTGTAAGTAATAATATTAAAATTCATTTTTCACCTTGTTTTTTTAAAGATCATAACAGCTGTCTAATCTGTAAGAAACTTTTCAAAAGTAATGTTAGGTATTTAAAAAATTTGTTTTTAAAATTACAAAATTACAAAATTGCATAAATATTTCTTGAAGAAGTAACTGTTTTATTATTGATTATTCTTTTCAATTTTATTGATTCATTGCTTTTTTATGGAATTCTTAGTTCTCTGTCTTTTTTTAAATGGCTGTAGCCTTTTTGTGTCATCTTGGCAAAAACTTAGTTGCCAATGAGTTGTTGACTTTTCTGCAGGAGTGTGGATGATCAGAAAGTACATTTCCTTTATCTTATCTGTGTTTAAATTTAGCAAGCATGAACAGTACATTATAATAACAAATGCTTTAAATTCTTCAACAAAGTATTATTTGTTGAAGTAAAGTAGTTCACTTCATGTTGCAACAAACAATTTTCAAATTTTCCCCATGTGTAATGAAAATGCATACCAATAAATTTTGCTTAGAAAATTCTGTACGAAAGCACCCATTCTTAGATAGACAGTTTTGCTGAGCTTTTCGTAGTCAATTAACCAATTTTATTTTTAAAAAAGGAATAAAACAGAAAAGATCTTACCATTTAATTCTACAAATGTCTAAAAATTGAAAGAAATTTCAATTATTTCTCTTAGCAGAAATGTCCTCAAGTGCAGATGTAAGCAAGACTTTTCAGCCATTTATTGAGATAAAATAGTTTTATTGATGGAAACTTACGATTTATTTTGCAATAAAAACTATTCATCAAAAATAAAATATAAAATTAAAATTTTAGTGAAATTTAATTCAGCATTATTGGCATAGCTGGAAGTATTATTTTGATACAGAAATCAGTAATTAAAAGCTAAAAACAGATTGCAGTGTTTGTGTCTACAGTATTATGTAGTTATCATAAGGTTTTATTTTTTATTTAGACATTAACCCTCTCGCTGCGCATCCCGTGATTTCCACGGGCAACGTAGAAGTAGCAAAATTTGCGCAACCCGCGATTTCCGCGGGGATGAATTTTTGCCGTCTATTTAATTGTGCAGCCCGCTCTTTCCCTGTTCAAGGTTTCTTTTTGGATTTTCTGTGATGTTTTAATTGTTTATTTAGATGTGGGCAAAAGATGACATTAGTTGTCCACATTTCTGCCAAATATACAAGAATGCGTAATGTAGCATTTTGCGCGCGCTTTTCAGAGTTCAAAGATGTCTAGCAGGAAGCATTTCGTGAGTGATACAATCTATATTCCTGATGATATTTCTGACAGAGATAGTAATTCCGATTCTGATTTCAAGTATATTGAAGATAGTTATAGCGAAACTGATGAGAATTTCTCGGATTCCTCTGCAGAGAGTGATGAATCTGAAAATTGAGTTCCTATTGAAAACGTTCGACATTGGTGCAAAATTGATATGCAGATATTTCATTAGTATATATGTTTCGCCTTTGTATTTTATAAAATTAATCACAATTTAGCCAATATTAATTTTCAAAATTTTCCTTTTATATCATTATTCTTCAATTTCAGTATTCTGACAACCTTTTCCTATGACCTAATTCTATATTGAAAAAAAAAAACTCTTTTACAAAAAATTTTTGTATATTTTAACTCTAAAATATATGTAGATTTAAAATATGTAATAAAAAATACGCAATTTTTTAACTTAGTTTGATAAAAAGAGTACGCAGTTAGGGTTAATGTATAGGGTAAATATTGGAGACCAATTTGAGGTTGTTTTGAAAATATTAATTTTATTACTATGAGTTTTTCACTTTAAATGATTAAGATATGCCTTGTGCATGAAAACTGCTTCATTTTTAGCCTTGAACTTAATTTTAGATTCAGTCATGATATCATAACAACATCTCCTGTTTATTAATTAAGACTAGCATTTGCTTCTAAGTTAATGAAAAACTCAAATCGATTAAAACGAAACGATACCCTAAAAACAAGAAATGACAATATGTTTATGTGCAGTGACAATACATCATGTCACACCAAAGCACATCCTCTAACTGTCTGTTAATGACCTCCATTCCCATTTTGGTCCTTCAGGGTTCTGCCAGTCTTACCAGTCTGACCAAGGAAAGGGAAATTCTGAAAATCTGTACAAGGTCATTATGAATCCCTAAGCAGGAAAACAAAATGTCCAATTGGTCCATCGGGATTTGCGAAATTCACCCTCCAGTTTCGCAAACCCTGCCAGTGTGACCAAGGAAAGGAAATTCTGAAAGACCGTACAAGGTCATTACGAATCCGTAAGCAGGAAAACGAAATGTCCAAGGCTCTTTAACTAAGCTTTGTTACATGAGTAACAGAAAATAATGTGAGTAGTAGGTAGAGAATAATAGTGTATAAATAATACAATTACTCAGAGATTATAATCAGCACAAGATTTACTCAACTGCCAATAGCATCAACCTAATGACTACAAATTTAGTTGAAAGCAAATTTTAATTTAAAAAAAGGAATTGTATATTTATTGCTGGCACTCGTAAGAGTATATAGATTTTATAGCATTGTAATGAATGAATGTATAATCAAATTAAATGTATTGATCTGTAATTTGGTGCAAGCATATTTTAATTACAAATTAAAATTTTTATTTTTGTATTGATTACTTTGCTAGAACATTTCTGGTATCATCTTTCATTGCATTGAAAATATTCACTTTTATTTCAGAGAAATACTTCAATATAAGAATAGTTTTCCATAAAATAAAAATCCAGTTTGGCCAAAGAATATTGCAGTGACACAATATTTCTGAAACTTACTATGTGCCTTATAATATATTTAAAAAATCAGGTTTTAATGAAAATTTTCCGCTGCCGCAACTGTCGTCTGTGCAAATAGTTCATGTTGCTGTGTTTAATCTTTTGTCAAACGTATGCGGATTTTTTTATATTAATATTTTTTTTGCGTATTTTTGTCATTTGGAAGAAAGAGACTTGCTTTAGAACACTGTTATGTGAAATTTGTAAAACAATATCGTTATCATTGAGTGCAAGGTGTCTGGAAGGGAACTATCACGGTGAAGGTTTGGTACCGAAAGTTCCAAAACAAAGACTATGATATTCAAGAAGCAGAGCGCTCTGGCCTGCCTGCGAGAACTTATGGAGGAAGATCAATATGCAACCACACGAGAGTCTGCTAAGGAATTAGATGTTAGTGCCATGTCCATTAGTCATGCTGTACATCACATAAACTTGACGTTGGGTGCCGCATGAGCCGACTCGAGCAAATAAGAATAGACGTGTTTGAGTCTGCAGTAATCTGCTCAAATATCAACGCAAGGATTAAAAATTTCCGCATAGGATCGTCAGTTGTGATGAAAAGTGGATTCACTTCAACAACACGGGCTGAAAAGGGGGGGTGGTCAGCGTCGCAAAGCAGAATTTGACTAACAAAAAGCTCATACTTTGTATTTCGTGGGATTGCCATAGTATTATTCACAAAGAGTATCTGGGAAAAGGTAAAACCCTCGACAGTAAGATGTACTGCGAGATGCTAGTCCGCGTTGATGCTGCTATCAAGGAAAAATGTCGAACTGAGTTCCAACAAAATAAGGTAATTTTTAATCAAGCTAGTGAGAAGCCACTTGTGTCTGCATTCGCCAGCTGGACTTGTTACAGACTCAAATGGGATCTTTTGCCACACCCACCATACAGCATCGACATCACTCCTTTTTTCACACCTGTAGCTACATATTGCTGGTATAACATTTACATAAAATTTATGAACTTGGTGGTTCTGAAGGCCCTGGGAAAAGTCACTTATTGGCCGGCCTCAGGGTCTGACAAGTCGTGAGCGGTACGACTCTAGTAGCCAGGGGGTGCGGTAATGATCCACTGCGACGGGCAGCCCGAGCGGCTGGTAGGTAGCAAATTAGTGACTAGTGCTGCCTGGTACCCCCAGGTGGTGCTGCACCCTCTCTGAGAGGCTAGAAGAGGTTGAACCTCCGTGCCTGGTTCTGAGGGGTGGGTGGACCCGTAAATGTGTTTCAGTTCGTGCAGACGGGGAAGCCGAAAACTCACATCTTGCTGGTGCTGTCTTCTATTCTGCATAGGATGTCCGAAATGAGGTTTTGGGACTAATGGCCATCAAGTTTCTGGACCAAAGGCTTTGAAAAACTACCAAAATATTAGCAGAAAATCATAGATTTGGTTGGTGATTATTACTACCTGCTCTAAAAGTACTGCTTTCATGTCCCCCCCCCCAACTAAGAATGTTTTTTAGTGGAAAACTTGCGTTACAACCTGGTATATTATTACCATTAAAATTTCTTTTGCTGTTTTTAAATTTTAATTAATGTGATTTTTTATTATATTTTCCTCTATATTTGCTTTGCTTCCAACCATTAAAAAAATGCATAACTTTATATATTTATTTCTTCTGTGTAGGGGAAACCTCATTTTTAATGTATCAAGTTGTGATGACTGTTTCTGAGAAAATGCCCTTAACATTTACCCCATTGAGTATATTTTATGCATTTTCAAATATGATGAAATAATTTCGGTTTCTGTTTCAGGCAGAGTATAAATTTAACTCTGAATGAAGTTAAAATTTGTGTTCTCTTAAAACCTCCTGTGTTTGTGGTAAAACAGTAACTTGAACATTCCGTAAATTGGAATTTCAGTAGTCATTTTATAAAATAGTTTCGGCACTGTAATTGAGTAACATCATGTTTGTAAACATTTATACAGTTCTTTTTTGAGAAATTATTATTAATTATACATCTTAAAAAATTAAGTGTAACAGTAAGAATAGATGATTCCAGTATTTGTAGAATAAAATAAACATTGTAATGCCTTTTTGCTTCATTTTGAAAAGTTTCAGTATGTAAGTAATTCTCTGGATTACAAAATGTTCAATTTTTCAGACCTTAGATAATGGTACACTAAAAGTATCAGGATATGTTCGAGGTAAACCACTAAACGTGAATGGACTTGTTCATATACCTGGCTGGGGTGATTTCCAAATGAGTCAAGTAGATTATGAAAATGATCCTCATCCCTTTGCTAACAAAGCAAAACCTGGTGTTCATAAAGTGAGTATTAAATAATTAAACTTGTTTTCATCTTTAACCAGTATATGTCTTTTGTTCCACATATATTTTAATAAAAAGTGGATCTTCTTCTTCTTTTTTTTTTCCCCCTACACAGTAGAATTTTAATATTATTAGATAGTTAGAAAAGAGTAATAAACCATACTAAGGTTTTATATTACAGAACTGTAATAGTGAAACATGTGTTAAATATTTTAAAATATCTGTGTAGACTTAATTCTCAAGATTACTGTTATAGCTAATAATACAACATAAATGCATTTATAAATAAATAACTATATTAAGTAAAATAAAGCTCACTTTCCCTAAAGTGAATTCTAAAGTGATACATCTCTTCTGTAAAAGGTTACAACAGAAACAACAATACCTGAACTAGTCATTGAAAAATAAGCAGACAAAATGAGTGCTTAGGAAATTTATAATAAATTAAGGTTGAAATCAGTTTTCTGTGATGGCATTTTGTCTTTTTTAGGAGTTAAGTTTTGAATTGTATCCCTTAAGATTATACTCAGAGGCATAATTAACTTTTATTGAGAACCAAGATTTCCTTAAAAATTCATTGCCTGATCAAGACATGCCCATAAGATTTTTTGAGAATCTCATGTGAATCAGCAGAATATTTGTTCAACATTGTAGTGCTGTTTTGCTTCATTTTAAAAACTTCGATATATAAGCATATATACAAAATTTTCAATTTTCCAGACCTTGAATAATGGTACATTAAAAGTATCTGGATGTGTTTGAGCTAAACCACTAAATGCGAATCCACTTGTTCATATACCGGCTGGAGTGATTTCCAAATGAATCAAGTAGATTATGATAGTGATCTTCATCCCTATATAAATATGTCTGATAAATGAAAAATTTGGTTTGAATTGTTACTGAAAATGCAACATTACAGAAATTTAAGCACGCTTACTGCCAGGAATACAATTTCTCAAAAATCTTAAATGAAAAAAATGACATTTCCAGATCAATCCACAGTGTACAAGTTTGATTTGGTTCAGTCTGATCTCTCTTCAAACCAAGAAAATATACTTGCAATTTCATATTGTTCATACTAATCATATTATTCATTTCCACTACAATTATTCATAAGTATTTTTTTCTTGGAATTCTATTTAAAGTGTTTGTGGGCCAGAATTGATAGATTTCATTAATAATATGTTCGAACTTAATTAAGTTACCAAATTGGAAGGTAAACACACCAATGTAGAGTTTAAAATTAGCCCCTTCCTTCTTCAAGAGCAAAAGAAATATATATATAAGAGGAGCACAACCATTTCATATTGAAAACAATTTTTGGAGCAAACGAAAATGACTGTAACATCATGTATGTACAGGGTTCGTACAGTCCTTAAGTTTTTTGGAATTGATTTTTGGTCATTCAAAGTCCTTAATTTCAGCCAAAATCGGGAGAAGGTCCTTAATTTTAATCGTCAAATTTCTGTCTGTTTGTACGACTGAAATTTTAAGTGTGAATTGCCATTTTGGAGATATATTTTTGGTGATTCACTGATAAATATGGTTATCTTTTGAATGGGTTATAATGTGTTCGTATTTCTAATATAAATGGTGGGATGCTAGAGTTTCTAAACAAGAAGTGAAACATAAGCATTTCGAAATTGTTTCAGTTTTTCTAATGAAGAGATTTTAAATAACTTTTTGCTTTTGGAGATGTGGAATTCTTTTATTGAATGGCTCTAAATTTGGCGAATACCAACATTTTGGCATTTTTAAGTCATTTTCTATAGCAAATTTTTAATTCCAAGATCTGGCAATTTTTCGACGATTTTTTTTAAACAATGTAACATTGATAAATTTCGTTAAAATAATGGTGATATATTGAAATTATATTTAAGAACTAACATTAAAATGTAACATTTTTATTTTTTTGCTGTCATATTATAAAGTTCTATTTTGGGCACTTATTATACAATGTTTTGAGTTTGAAAAATAAGGTATAATGCTATAAAGCACAATTTATGAAACAGTTCTTAGCAAAAGAAAACAGCTATGTAATTAATTAAAAATATCTTCTTTTTAATTTTTCCATGATAAGAAGTTTTCTCATGTTATTGTCTCAAACTTGTAAATTGTCAGAATATGCATCAATTTTCTCTATAAAATTAATTTTAAACATATTTTCTGTGATTGATTTCTTTTTTTCAAAATATTTCTGGCTTTTGCTGTTAAAAAATTGGTAGGGGTAATTTTGCTTCAGGACATTAGACATCACAACTTGAAGAAGGATGCAAATTATAAAGTTTAGAATGATTTGAAAGCAAGCTTTATAAACCCATGATTCTAGAATGATTCCAGAAAAATGTGACAAAATGAAAGATGTCTGTATGGTATTAACACATAATGTATGTATTTTACAGAAAATATGCAATGAATTTCTTACTTTTTGGAGAACATCTGGAAGAACAATGAAAACATAATATTTGAATGTTTTAACTTCTGAAACTAGAGTCTTTTTTTTTTTTTTTTTTTAACATGCTTATCTTTCCTTTATTTTCTCTACTTTTCACTAGACACAAGCATGGGAAATATTAAAAATGCTTCTAATCGTATCACATGGACTGGCATTATAGAAAGGGATTTTTTTATTAATAAAGAAATTGGAAAGTGGCAATTTAGAAGATTCATCTAATACTGTATTTGACGGCATATAAGACGCACCCTTATTTAGACCACACACAAGGAAAAAAAGTTTCAATAGTCCACAATAACTTCAAATGTGGTTTCTTTTAGTTCTCACGTTTCGTAAAAGCCAAATAAACAATCATTGAATGCAATTACCAAACATATTTTTATTAAGGAAAATTAACAAACGGCAAGCTATTTTGAACATGATATGTAAATTTCAATAATGAATAAATGAATGAACGGCAAGCAATCAAACATAATACAAAATAAAGCAGAAATAACAAAAAACACAGATTCAAGGAAAACGTTGCCTATCATGAAATTAGACTTTAATCACTTTCAAAACCATAAAAATCCTTTTCACTATCATCATCATCGAAAACGAGAATATCATCATCACTACTGTTTCCGTCATCGCTATTATCACCTTCTTCGAATAATGCGTCGTCTACTGTTCCCTCAAGAGCATTACTAATTCTGCACTTCTTAAAGGACTTAACAATTACTTCAGCCTTTACGTCCTCCCAAGATCTTTTTACCCACTCGTACACTTGCGAAATAGAGGGCCACTTCATTCTACCTGAGAATGTGAGGGCGTGATGTGGCTCTCTTATCCACTTGTTCCATCGTTCTCACACCTTTTCCTTAAATGGCTTATTCACCAATGCATCTAAAGGCTGTAATTGGCTAGTCAGTCTTCCAGGAATGACAGCTATCTGGGTTTTTAATTCTCCCACTTTATTCTTTATGGTTTAAGTTCTATGGGCGCTAAACTGATTCAAAATCAAAAGAGAGCGTTTTCTTAAGAGTTCACCAGGTTGACTCGCCCATAAGTTCTGTAACCACAGTTTCATTCTAGCTTCGTCCATCCAGACTTTCGGATGAACATGAACAATAACACCCGTTGGAAGTTTTTCTTTTGAATATGAAAAACGGCGGTAGTTTTGTGCCATCAGCACAACATGTTAGAACTACCGTATATTGGGTTTTTTCATGACCTTTGGTTTTTATGGTTATTGTTTTAGATCCTTTAAAACTCACATCTTGTTGGGTGATACATCAAATGTGAGTGGAATTTCATCCATATTTCCTATTTGACCGAGCTCAAAAGAAGTTTTCTTGCGTGCATTTATAGCAAACCTATGAAATGCTAGTATTTTTTTTTCTTCATAGTCTGTTGGCATTTTCTTTGCAATAGTTGTTTTTGTGCACATTGATAATTCTTGCCTTTTCATGAACCTGTTGCACCAGCCCTCAGACCCTGAAAAGTTCTGATTCCCATGTTTTTCTGCAAATCCTTTGGCCTCATTGATTATCATTTTAGTTGAAACACTTATCCCAGATTTCTTTTTATCTATCACCCACATTTTTACGGCATTTTCAAGTTCAGACCAAGATGGAGCTGGGCATCGAAGTTTTTTTTTTTTTTTTTTTTTTTTTAAGCAGTCTTGTTTCCTGTAGTCATATTTTCCAGGGTATTTTTTTTTTTAAACAAATAGTTTTAAGCACCGATACCGATACATGTGTCGGCTGAGTCAAAGAAAGTCTTTGTAAAGAAGGAAAGGCTCCATAGACGTAATGTAACCGTCGAACCTGTTTGAACTTCGACATCAGCTTCGAGCTTTGAGGCTTTTTGGCGACAGATATTTCACGCATGCGCAAAATAATTATGGCAGATGTAGAAAAAGTTATGTGTGTCTAGACCTTTTATCTGGGCTAAAAATAGCATTTAGTATTGAAAGTTAACCTGTGTCTTTCACGTATAAGATGCAGGTAACTTTTTTGAGACCAAATTTAGGAAAAAAAGTGCGTCTTATATGCCGTCAAATACGGTATGTCTTAATGCATCATACACAGGTCTGACATTAGGCATTTTCCCACCTGGTAAAATCACATGGAATACTAAATTTATATCTGTAGATCCTAAATTCTGCTTCCAGTACCTGCTCTAAGTTCTAAAAGTTTTGCCATTTCTAGATTGTGTTGCTCGGTGTGTCATTAAATTCTAAACATTCTGCCACACCAGCTCTGTAACCGGCCCTTACCATATATATTTCATATTTCTTCTGAATGTTCGTATTGCTAAAGAAATAAAATTAGCAGCTTTTAATATGCATTCTAAATGCATATAGGTTTTTTTTTTTTTTTTTTTTTTTTTTTTTTTTTTTAGAATTACAGAAATCTTTAATTAAATCCAAAAATTCTAAAATGAAAAGGAAGCATGTTGAAGAAAGAAACCGAATACATAAAGAGAAAGGAAATTATTCTTCGAATATATATACAGTTATTATTATTTAAATTATCCAGTTATTTATAATTTCAGCTTTTAC